GGTGGCAGCTGTAGTATTCTGGATCCTCTATATGAGGGGTCCTCAAACTTTTTAAAATAAGGGGCCAGTTCGCTGTCCCTCAGACCGTTGAAGGGCTGGACTATAGTTTAAAAAAAACTATGAACAAATTCCTATGCACACTGCATATATCTTATTTTGAAGTAAAAAAAACAAACAGGCAAAAACACCTGCATGTGGCCCACGGGCTGTAGTTTGAGGACGCCTGCTCTATATAATGACATCATTAGGGGAATGCCCATGTGAAAGGAAATAAGAAGGCACTTGGGAAGGATGAAAGATGCTTCAAGATACAAAGCAAAGAAATGACCACATCTGTCTTTGTGCCTGCTGAGTGAGGCAAAGAGGATGAGAAGGTGGAGTGGAAGCGTCCAAGACTGCCTGCCATGGAGGAGCTATCATGGCGTCATTGAGCCAAAGTCAGCTAGCAAAGGGTCCCATGTCTCCCAGGAGTGGGTCAGCCTTAGCACCCCCTGTACTATGCTATTGGCAGGGAGCAGCCTGTGGGAGGGGCAGCCTCAGAGACCGGTTATAAATGCATAGCAGCTGGAGCTCTCAGTCACTTAAGCTTCCTGTATTAGGAAGGTCTGCAAGGCAAAAATTCTTGTGGCCCCTACAACAGCCAAACCCAGAATAGATAGACGTAAAACCATGTCGAAGGATTAGCTTTTGTCAAGCATATAGAATAGAAAAAAGAACAACGGTAGTAGGCCGGGCGCGGTGGCTCACGCCTGTAATCCTAGCTCTCTGGTGAGGCCGAGGCGGGCGGATTGCTCAAGGTCAGGAGTTCGAAACTAGCCTGAACAAGAGCGAGACCCCCGTCTCTACTACTATAAAATAGAAATAAATTAATTGGCCAACTAATATATATACAGGCATGGTGGCACATGCCTGTAGTCCCAGCTACTTGGGAGCCGGAGGCAGGAGGATCGCTTGAGCCCAGGAGTTTGAGGTTGCTGTGAGCTAGGCTGATGCCACAGCACTCACTCTAGCCTAGGTAACAAAGCTAGACTCTGTCTCAAAAAAAAAAAGAACAATGGTAGTAAGTGAGCTCTATGTGGTAATAAGAAATAAGTGGACCTAAAAGCCACAGGTGTGATTATTTCTGTGCCCTGGGCTTGAAGGCAAGGGCAGGAATATACTGATCTCATGAGAGAAGCCATCTTGTTGACAGCAGTTGGATTAAAACTATCCCTTTTCTGATAAATATGGCATGGTTTCTCAAACCTGCATAGTAGGTGAGCATGCCAACAGTGACTGAAACAGAAGGGCTGGCAAGAAAGACTGGATGGAGGGAAGGGAAGACACAAGCAAAGACCACTACATTTCTAAAAAATTAGTAGCTAAATATATGAGGAGAGTGGGTTGCTGAGGGAATTATCTACACTCTTTTTGAAGATGAAGATTAGATTGAGAAAGAATACTGAGAGGCTAAGTATACCCTTTTGAGAAAGTAAGGAAGATTGAGCCTATAAGGAATGAAAAATGAAAGAAACTTCTGTACATCAGATGGAATAATAATGCATTTTGTGCATTCCTAAAGCACCCCCCAAACATAAGAGACACGGTATTGAATATGCATTGTCATTATTAATTCAAATTCTTATGTTGCTTTGCACTCTACAAATTATCTCACTCAATGCTCCCGACAGTCATATAAGGTAGATTTTTTTTTTTTTTTTTTTTTTGAGACAAGAGTCTCACTCTGTTGCCCGGGCTAGAGTACTGTGGCGTCAGCCTAGCTCACAGCAACCTCAAACTCCTGGGGTCAAGCGATCCTGCTGCCTCAGCCTCCCGAGTAGTTGGGACTACAGGCATGTGCCACCATGCTCGGCTAATTTTTTCTCTCTATATTTTTAGCCAGCCAATTAATTTTCTATTTTAGTAGAGATTGGGTCTTGCTCTTGCTCAGGCTGGTTTCGAACTCTGACCTTGAGCAATCCTCCTGCCTCGGCCTCCCAGAGTGCTAGGATTACCGGCATGAGCCACCACGCCCAGCCAAGGTAGATTTTTATTATCATGGTCTTACAGGTGAGGAATTTGAATCTGGCTTAAATACCTGGAAGCCTAAATTGTCTGCCCAAAACAACCCCCCACCAAACAGTAAGTGGTGGCAAACCCAGAGCCTAGTGTGGATTGTGGGGACAAACAGATGTGAGTAATATAGTAAAGGCCACACGATACTAATGAATTGCAGGGGCCAGATGTTTTTAAGATGTCAGAATTTATTATTCTATTAGGAAAATTATATAGAACAAAAGGTTTCTCCTACATAAGCCCTCCAGTGAGGACTGGGACTATATCCCATAATCAAATATATTGATGTCTATAAATGCAGGAACTACTGTATCACTATGGTCACTTCCAGCTCATAAAATGGGGGCCACATTAGTTGAAGTCTTTATCTGGAAGGACAGACATGTCTCTTGGAAATACAAATGTTGCTTCTCCTTCCAGTTCTACTAAAACTACTGTCACTCCACCTTCTTTTACTCTACTTTCAGTTTGAACTCTTGAAGCTGGGATTGAGAGGATAGCAGAGGCTCCCCCGGAATTCCACCTCCCCTGAGTGCGCTGCTGAGCCTGGATTGTGAGGAGGTTAAAGGGGAAAGTTGTCAGTACTGCAGAGCTGTCAGCTGGAGGGTGACCCCAGCCACACCCACACTGACACTGAGATCTAAGGCAAAGGCAGAGGGAAGACCACTACAGGTATCTGAGGTGGAGCCGGCCCACTGTAGCTACACAATGTCCCCTGGGATGGCCTGTACTTCTCTGAGTTCAGTGAAATAAGAGTGACGTCTGAATTCCAGGAAACTGGGCATGGGGTCTAGGTGTCAGGAGATGTGCCAGGTAGGTGTATTTGTGGGAGGTTGGCGGGGAATGCAGGAGCTGTCGAGGTGGTGTGGGCACCTCTGTGATTACCTATTGAAAAAGGTAACACCTAATGAAGACAAGCTCACAAAAACTATGCAATAAAACTATTTATTTAAAAGACCTCGGCCAGGCATGGTGTCTCACGCCTGTAATCCTAGCACTCTGGGAGGCCAAGGCCAGTCGCTCAAGGTCAGGAGTTTGAGACCAGCCTGAGCAAGAGTCGAGACCCCATCTAGACTAAAAAAATAGAAAGAAATTATCTGGACAACTAAAAATATATATACAGAAAAAATTAGCCCGGCATGGTGGCACATGCCTGTAGTCCCAGCTACTCGGGAGGCTGAGGCTCTGTTTCAAAATAAATAAATAAATAAATAAAAGACCAAGCCACAAATATTGATTAAAAAATCATAGAAAACCTACAGTTGGATTGTTTCTAAGGTACCTAGTTCAGCAAGCTCTTCTTTCAGGGATTCCCTCTGACACCTTCCTCCTGAGGAGACACCCATTCTGGTCTTGAACATTTCCAGGGACAAACAATGAGCTCCCTCCACAGTGGGGCATGCTGCTTCTGTTATTGAGACAGTTCCAGTTGGTAGAAATTTCTCTCTTGATCAAGTCTACCCACTGGTGTTCATTCTGTCCTGTAACTTCATACACAAAGTCTAATTTCAATTCCACATAGCAGCCATTCAAATATTTGATAATACTATATTAATACAGAATTTTTTCCTCAGGTAGATTTTCTTCATAAAATATTCCTTTATCATCCTATGAAAACTCTAGCTAAAATATATCTCTTAGAAAAACGTTGGCATCCAGAAGTATTCTTTTTTTGTTTATTTGTTTTTTAGACAGAGTCTCACTCTGTTGTCCAGGCTACAGTGCCGTGGCATCAGCCTAGCTCACAGCAACCTCAAACTCCTGGGCTCAAGTGATCCTCTTGCCTCAGCCTCCCAAGTGGCTGGGACTACAAGCATGCACCACCATACCCGGCTAATTTTTTCTATATATTTTTAGTTGGCCAATTTGTTTCTTTCTATTTTTAGTAGAGATGGGTCTCACTCTGCTCAGGTTGGTTTCGAACTCCTGACCTTGAGTGATCCTCCTGCCTCGTCCTCCCAGAGTGCTAGGATTACAGGCGTGAGCCACCGCACCCAGCCCCAAAGTATTCTTAAACCGAGTTATACCAGGATGAATGTAGAGCACCCGGGACTAATTTTTACCCTTGGCTCAACTCTGTGGGCACTTCCTTTGACCTTCTAATTTAATGTCACTTAACTTGCTCTTAGTGAGTCATTCTGGCTATCAGTGCCTATCTTTTCTAGGTGCTTTTACATACTGTCTAATATTAGTCTATTCTTAGTTTGCAAAAGATCAAAATAAAATTTTCATAATTTAAAATTTTTGACAAGTTGCTATTTTTCAGGCTTTCGGCAACTGTGATTTTTTTTTTTTTTTTTTGAGATAGGGTCTGCTCTGTCACCCTGGCTAGAGTACAGTGGCATCCTCATAGCTCACTGCAACCTCCAACTCAAGTGATCCTCCTGCCTCAGCCTCCCTAATAGTAGAGACCATAGGTGCACGCCAACATACCTGGCTAATTTTTTCTATCTTTTGTAGAGAGAGGGGTTTTTTTATGTTGCTCTGGCTGGTCTTGAACTACTGTTGTCAAGCAATCCTCATGCCTTGGTCTCCCAAAGTGCTAGGCTCACAGGCATGAGCCACTGTGCCCGGTAAGCAACTGTGATCTTCATAACTTCTCAATACTTATTCCCATTGAGAAGCAGGTTCTGTCATTCTCTTGAATGGAGCTCATCTGGGTCTGGTAAATTGTTCTCATTTTAAAAGATTCAGATTTCATCCTGCTATCTTTTCACAGAGGATTGGTTTTCTGTTCTTTCCAACCATGTAATAGGAGTATAGGAATTCTATATCTCTACTATCAATATTTCTTACCTTCCCCCAGCAGTGGCTTTTTCATTCTAGTCTTCTGAAACAGAGAAAACTAATTTCTCCTCTAAATTTTCTGATGAATTCCAGGCCATACTGGGTTTTATTCTTTCCTACACAAATTTTAGTGGTGTTCAACAAATATATGTAAACAATCATTTTAAATAATAATTTATTAATTTGATCTATTCATTTAAAGATAATGTCTGATGCCTCCAAGTTTGCAACCAAGAATGCTGTTGGGTAGGGCTGGGAAAGTTCTGGAGAACATTCTTCTAGGCCCACCAGCTGTCACAGAATGTCCTGATAAAAGTCAGAAGAGTGACTCTGAGTATATGAACGAGGGGCTTTGAGAGAGACATCTGGGGCTGACTGAGCAGTACCTAGGGGGGAGAGAGAGAGAGAGCTGTAATGAAGTTCCAGAGGGACTTAGGGAGTTCTCTTCACTCACTGAGCCAAATAAAAACTGATATTCCTTCCCCTCCTGGTTCACACTCAGCTAGAAGTGGGAAAGTCAGGGAGAGAGAAACCAAGTTGCTGTTTAGTTGATAACCAGTGACTCCCTAGTTATCTGCAAAGATGGGGAAAGGGATTTCTACATGAAGTGTAGATTTTCCAAAACTATTTACTCCTGGGACCAGGAGCTGGGAATGTATAGGTGGGATTTTATAAGAAGTAGCCTTATCTAGATTGAATATAGCTATTATAGTTTTGAGTTATGTGGGTCTAGGCACTTTTTGTACTATCTACCTCTGCTCTTTGCTTCTCCAATTGGGTTTTGCTGCAGAAAGACAGGGATATGGAATTGATCTCAGCTTTGGTTTTTCCCTCTGTAAGTCTGAAAACTCCAGTTTGCTTCCCTGCGGCCCTTTCTTATTGCAGAGCTGGAATATAGAATCTAGGTCCTACCCAGGGAAGACAGAGGCGGATACTGTCACAGAGAATAAAAATAACCCAGACAAGTCACACATTTGGGTAGTGGCTACTTTCCAAAACATACTTTCCTGTGCCCACCAAAGTTTTAGCAGAATATCTAGTGGCCTCATGCACTGGGACAGCAGTGTGACATGGCCAAGTCTCAGTTTTTGCTGGGCATACCACAGTGGGCCACACTCTCACACGCCATGGCTGCGGGTATGGATCAGAGTCTTTCCCCCGAGTGGCTGCTGTTGTGATGTTGTCAGGGCCCTTGTCATCATTCTTTTTGGCCTTAACAAGGGAGGAGAAGGGGTGTGGAAGAATTGGTCTCCAAGTGAAAGCATTCAGGGTGAAGAGTGTAGGAATAAGGGCCATTCACAGAAGAAAAGTGGCAGGTGGCACCTATAGCATGTGATAGTGAAATGAAGGTGGGATATGGCCCTCCTTCTGTTCAAGAGGGCACTGCAGAAACCTTGGGGCTAACACTTGCCAGTCAGGCCATCAGCCCAAGAACAGCACCAGGTGGTATAAGGAGTTACAAGAAAGGGCATCACATCAGACAGCCCTGAGAATGAGACCTAGCCCTGCTTGGGGCAAGCCACTCTTTCTTTTATAAAGTGGGGACAAGGTACCTTCCCTGCCTCCCCATCTGAACTAATTGTAAGGAACAAGTGAAATTAATGCACATCAATGTGCTTTATAACTATAAACTTCTGTCCCAAGAACCTATACACCCTTTTGAGCCTGCCTACATGTGGACAGAAACAGGAGATTTCAGCCTTTCCTACTTTTTCCGGGGTCAGCGCTGCTGAGCACACGCTCCAGCCTCTCCCGCAGGCGATCGTTAACGCAGACGGACTCCTCCAGGCGCTGGCGCAGGTTCTGGATCTCAGCAAGGTTCTTTTCCAGCAGGTCGGCCCCTGTTGCATATCACCAAGACATGGGAGAGGTAGGGGATGGGGAAGCCTGATTGTCCCTGGGCAGCTGTGGGGCCTGCCTGGGGTCTCTCTGCAAGATCCCTGCCTATCCCTACCCTTCTGTCAACTTCCTCCCCTGGGCATCCAGAAAACACCAGGCAACTTTATTTAAGAGTTTCTGGACTTTCAACAAGATGGCTCCCTGTGAAGGAACTTCGCAGGGCTTCCTTCGACAGAGGCTGAGTACATCTAAGGGAGAGGACACTGGGCTGGAACCACAGGGGTGGGAACTGTGCCTCTGGGTAGGACTGGCCTAGCAATGGGAAAGGTTGTCTACCTCCTCGGTATGACTGCTGACCATCCATCTTTACCTCATACCTCTCTACCTCATACCCATCCTACCTGATGATTCCTGACCGAACAACTTTTAACCTTGACCTACTCTTGGAGAGAAGGAGCAAGGTAAATGCATATGAGATTAAATCAGGTGTGAATAGTGAGTGATACTAAATGTTTTCCTTTAACCAATTTTGGGGAAGAGGAACATGGAAGGGCCTGGGAGGTGTTAGGACCTGAAAGAGGAACAGGATAGAAGGGAACAAACTCCGAGGAAGGAAAAAGATGCACGCAGGGGAGAAAAAGGCCAAGAATAGGCTTTATCCACTGGGACATTTTGTTAGGGTCAAGTTTTTCTCTGAGAATTTAAAATGTCTTATTGTTATACTAACTGGGATCCAGAAACTGAGCTGCTTCAAGCCATTCCTCTCCACAGGTGCAGCCCTAGCCACAGGGCACCAGGATGCCTGGCTCCAAATCCACAAGCAAAATTTCAGAGGGCAAAATTGGCGTGTTGTTGTTTGCACTGTGTGTGTGTGCATGTGTGTGCATGTGTGTGTGTGTGTGTGTGTGTGTGTGTGAGAGAGAGAGAGAGAGAGTATGTGAGGGTGCAGGAGTAGGTGACCATGTAGAAATAGTTTCCCATCCCACAGTAGCTCTTGACCTAAGGAAGACCTTCCCCATGGAAGTCTGAGCTTAGTATTCTAGAACAGTCTAAATCTTGGCCTAGGAAGGTTGTAGCACACAGAGAAAGGAGCATGTGAATGTGAGGTAGCTCATCTTCCTTGCAGAGCACATCTGAGTGACCCCTTCCCTTTCCCTTCCCTTCTTCTCCTGCCCAGAGTGAGTTCCCAGGTTGCCGGGGATGGAGGTGGGGGTGGGGGTGGGGTGGGGGGGTAGCAGGAAAAGACACTTGTAAAGAACTGGCACTGAGCTGGAATCTCATTCTATGGCAGACTTATAGGACATTATCCCTCATCTTCTGTGAGCCAGGTTCTAACAGAGGAATAAAAAATCTCTGGCCAGGAAAGGAATGTGTCATTCTTGTCAGCTAGCTCTATTTCACCAACTGCTCCTTTGTGTTTTACCAGAGGATTTGGAGTTGGGCCAATACGAAGAGGAGAAGGAGGCTAGGTTCCCAGATGCATTCATTTTTTGAGGCCTCATCTCTTCCCACGGGCCACTGCTGCCATGTTCTGGTGTTCTGCTCAGCTGGGTGGTGTCACGTGGAGGACAGAAGGTCTGGGCAGGCCTGGCTCCTGGGTGACTGCTGGGCGATGCAGCTGAGTCAGCAGGAACAGCGTGGCTGACATCTGTCCAGAAAGGAATGTCCATGAGAAACAAACAGGGAAGTCATAAATAAAGTGTTTTAAAAGTAATTATAGTGGGCTGAATGGCATCCTCCAAAAATTCATATCCACCTAAAACTTCAGAATATGACCTTATTTGTAAATGGGATCTTTGCAGATGTAATTAGTTAAGATGAAATGATACCAGATTGAGGTGGTCCTTAAATCCAACATGACTGATGTCTTTTTTTTTTTTTATTAGTTCAGAATATTACGGGGGCACAATCGCTTTGGTCACATAAATTGCCTTTGTACCGCCTGAGTCAAAGCTACAAGCCTGCCCATCCCCCAGTCAGTGCGCACCACACCCATTAGGTGTGAATATACCCATCCCTTCCACTCCCCACACCTGCCCGATCCCCAGTGAATGTCACTTCCATATGTGCACATAAGTGCTGATTGATTAGTACCAATTTGATGGTGAGTACATGTGGTGCTTGTTTTTCCATTCTTGGGATACTTCACTTAGAAGAATAGGCTCTAGCTCTACCCAGGATAATACAAGAGGGGCTAGTTCATCTTTTTTTTGACTGATGTCTTTATGAGAGGAGACAGAAATAAAGAGACACCCAGGGAAGAAGACCACGTGACAAGAGAGGCAGAGAACACAGTGACATGTCTGTAAGCTAAGGAAACTCTCAGAAGCCACCAGAAGCTAGGAAGAGGCAAGGAAGCATTCTTCTAGAGCCTTCAGAGGGAGTATGGCCTCTTGATGGCACCTTGATTTCAGACTTCTAGCCTCCAGAAATCTGAGAGAATAAATTTCTGTTGTTTCAAGATACCTTGTTTGTGATACTTTGTTTTGGAGCCCCTAGAAAACCAATAAAGTAATCCAGGGAATGAAGACTAGGTAGATATCAGTGATCCCAAGCCCACTGTTGAATATCAGTTAGATGAAGACTCATTTCCCAGGGACTATAAGTTTTACCCCAATGTTACTGGCATCTCCTGGACCATGACATCAAGAAATAGTGGTTGGATATAATATCTGAGGGTCACAGTGCACACACAGGAAAACTACAGGGACCCCTCTCCCAGCCCCCTCTATGACTCCCAATGCCAGAACGACCCCAGGGAGGTACTCGAGCAATGTTTCCTCTAACAGCAGGACTCACTGCTAATTTTAGGAGTCAAGAGAGTGACGGGATGAAGCATTTTGATGCTCTGGGAACAGGTGGCTACTTACTTAATAGTCTATGTCCTCACCAGCAACACCCCAGCTAATTCTTCATGGGATTGTTCTATGTTGAGGTTGTTGGCACAGGTAGGGAAAACACCCCCCAGTTCTGGACAATGTGCAAGAACCTAGGTAGCGTTGCTGCCATTCCTGGTGGTTCCTGCCTCAATTGATTCTACACTTCTACTGAAGCTGAGGGAGTCTGTGTAAGGCAAGTGGTGATTTGGATCCCACCTAGAATAGCTCACAACACTGCAAAAATAATTTTTAAATACAGTTCACATTGTCTGGCTCCTGTCCAAACAATATCTGGGGTACTCTTACTTGGGGGATTGTAGAATCAGAAACTGCATGGCATCTCACAGCTTAATGATGCTCTGAGAACATGACCATGTCCTTTGGGCCCTTGTCTTGTACTGTTTGTAGAGGCCAGAACTTTGTATTGGGCACATGGGACAGAAAGAAAGGAATGGGAAAACCACCGGCTCCAGAAGCCTGGGAAAAGAGGTGCTGGGAAGGGGTGAGCACCCTCTCTATGTAGTCCCTGATGCGGCTCAGGCTGCAGAGTGCAGTGAACAGAGCCTGGGCTTTGAGTCAGGTAGACTGAAGTGAATGTTGCCCCAAGCTGGGTTGTCTTCCGCAAGTCTTTTGACTTTGCTGAGCCTCTGAGCCCTCAGCTGTAAAGCCAGGACATGACCACCTGCTTGAGGGAATCACTAGGGCAATTAAATGAGACAACAATGTACAGCGGCCAATAATGTGAGCATAATAGGTACTCAGTAAATGTGAATTTCCTTGGCTGCTATAATCCTAAGGGAGACATTTTGCTGCTTTACTGCTCGGGGTAAAATGAGAAACAGGAATAGCACCAGGTCAAAACCCATTATAGCCCATTCACTGCCTAAAATTGTTAATTTAGGAAAAAAGAAACCAGACATAGCCCGGGACTAAGGATGATTTTTTGGCATTGCCCACATTAGGACTTGACTCATAGTTGCCTAAAATTTTGGACACTTTTCTCAGGAGGGAAATTAAAGAGAAAACTGAGTAGGAGAAAATGAAGGTTTGATTTAAAACTTACTCTCGTTCTCCCATCTCTACCAAGGCTGCCAAGGGCCTTCTTTGGGGAATTTGGGGTGGGGGACCATACTGGTGGGGTTGGTGAAAGACTCAGCTTGAACCTCATGACATGTCCCAATTATTGATAGCTTAGAGGATATTACAGAAGAATTATTAGGATGATGATGGGATCTGTAAATCCACAAATGATAAAGAATATTGAGTGGTGAACAGAAAACAGAAACCATGGCTATTTACCCCAAGGATTCTAGGATTAGAGACACAATGTTAGTCACTTTCATGTCCCTGGTCTGAAGATAACATGATCGTGTTGAAGGACTATTTCCTCCTTCCCTCTCCTTCCCAACTCGTGACCCTTCCCCCCTCAAGTCCAATACCATGTATGTGCCAGACCAATGACATAGGAGACTAGGAATGGAGAAAAGCTACCTGACACCCGTGGGGACTTTGCTTGGCACTGGGTCCCAGAGCTGTGCTCAACCAGGGACATCACAGTGGATCTATAGGGCCTGGCCGCAAACATGCCTCCCCTTGGCACCCAGAAACTGGAGTGTGTGGGTACTCACTGACGGCATCCACCGCAGGATGCGCTTCCTGCTCACCGAGCCATGGGCAAGTGCTGCTGCGGGCCCAGTGGGCGGCAGACTGGGCATGGCTGCTGGAGCCAATCTGGGACCCGGCATCCTGCTTGGTCTCTAGGAATTCCCTCACTTTGCTCTTCTTATGTATCTCCCTTAAGATACTGGTGGGGTAAGAAAGAGACAAGGAAAAATAAATGTCACTTGAATGCCACAGCTGTAGTGATCTGGAGGCTCACGGGAGAAGCCAAGGAGAGGTTAAGAAGATCATTCCTTCAGAGAAGCAGCCCAAAAATTCATTTCAGTTTAGGGGTAGAGGATGGAGGGAGTGGGGGAGGGGCCGGGAGAGCAGAAGTGTCCAGTGCATCGGCCACAAACATCCTGAGGAAAAGAGAAGAACCATCAGGCCCTTTAAATAACACTCGGGCTTCCTTCACGAGACACCCAGAGGCCCCGAAGAGTTCAATTCACTCTGCGAACATAACCTGTTATATAGTATTTGTAATAGCCCATTTAAAACTAGTCCCTGAAGCAAAGGCAATGTAGCCTCCCAGATGTCTTGCAGTTTCTAGACCTCCTCCCATAAGTATAGAGATACGTATGGTAGAAACCTTTGTTTGCAAGGAAAATTTGTAGCTATTTAACATCTGCCAGTACTCCCTGGGTCACCCTTAAAGAAACCAGATAAAATCTTATCCTGGCCTTTAAACAGTCAGGGGAAATCAAAGGTGATCCCTGAGGGTTCAGGAAACTCGTAAGACCTGGATAGTAAGGTTAGAGCTGCTTTATATTACTAAGTGGGTGAATTAATGTGAGAATGGTAACCAGAATAATAATACATTTTTTAAAAATGGGAAATAACATTACCTGTCACTAAGGATACATAATGGTTTGGTGAATAAATAAAATAATACAATAAGCTATTTTTTTTTCTTCTGGCCTTTGCTTCTGATGCTTTACCAGATAAAATCTTTCATTGCCCCTGAAAATCTGGAGTTACCTGAGGGTCAGGGGCGCCCGTCCTGCTTGATCCTTCTTACTTGTATAGTCATCTGAAAACCAAATTCAAATAGGACCAGTCATAATTTAAGCAAGTCTCATTTCCTAGATTGCAAACAAACACTTGGTTCTATTTGGGATCAGAGACATGGCTGCATGATGCTTGAGTCCAGGATTCTCTGAATTTTCCCAGATTTTGGATTGAGTCTTTAGCGAGCTTGCCTGGTAGGTTTTCCTGAGCCCACCACAGAGATCATCATTTCTTCTTGCTCTGCCCTGAGTCACAGCAAAATGCTAAATATGTCTTTTCCCCACAGATTATGGGAAACTTATCCAACTGTCCTTTGGCCCATTCCAGCCAGAGCCTCCAAGTGGTGGCAGAGAGCTGGCACCCCAGACCCATGGCTATGTGTCACACAACAGCTTTCATGTAGAACTTACTCTTTTCTCTAAGGGGATGACAGACATCCCTGTCCTGCCTCTGCATCTGCCATAAGGAAACACCACAGTGGCCTCAAGCCTTCTGTTACTATGTGCCCTCAGGTGCTCCAGGGAAAATTATATGTAAAAGCTCCTGAAATAACTAATGCTCCCACAAGTTGGTATGCACAGTGCCTAAACCATGCCAAAATCAGCACGATTATCATTTCTTTGAAGTTACTGATTAAGGTTACTTGCTTGATCCCTATAATAATTACTATGAAACCTTCAGGGGCTGGCATAATTTGATCTAATTTTTTAGGTGAGGAAACAAATCAAAAGAGATATTAAGCTATCCAGAGTGAATAATGAATACATATAAGCTAGAGCAAGGGTCTTACGATTTCTAGTTCAGGGTCCTTCACAACAACCAGCTGCCCCTGCTCTTTCTTTCTTTCTGCCATTAGTTTCAAATAAATGCCACCACCCCTAGAGATGCCTCCTGCCCTGATGGCCATATTCTATGAGGGTTGGAGGTGCTGACGATCATCACAGCATCTTCAACTTCTTGTGTTTCTCTTTGGAGCTCCTCACCAGCCTGTCCTGACCCAATGTGGTGATTACAAAGCAGGACTTGCAGATAGATGTGGGCTTGTGTGAGCCTAGGACCTTGAGAAGGACTGAAAGTCTTCCCAAGCTGTGTGGCCGACTCTTACCAGTGCTGAATTTGCTGGCAAGGCTCTCTGCCAGCTGGCTGCCTTTGGCCAGCTGCTCACGGAAGTGCTGCTCCATGTAGTGGTCAATGCTATTGCTGCTGAGTAGTTCCTCAAAGGTTTTTACTGTGTTTTTGACATGCTGGATGAGAAGGGAAGAGACTGCTTTCCCAATCCTCATCTTCTGCCGTAGATGGGTCAACTCTCGAGCCTGATCCTGGATCAAAGAATGATATTTCCTAAAGTGGAAAGAAAGAAGAAGTAAAAGTGAAAAGGGGTGGCTGATAAGTTATTATGCTATAGCAGAAGGTACTTGAGAGTCTCTCCAAAGGAGGCCCCACACTGAATTCTAGCACATGTTTAGTGACCTGAATATGGTAGGGGGAATGAAGGAAGGAAGAAAAATAAAAACAGTCTCTATGTGTGGCTGGGCGTGGTGGCTCATGCCTATAATCCTAGCACTCTGGGAGGCTGAGGCAGGAGGATCGCTCAAGGTCAGGAGTTCGAAGCCAGCCTGAGCAAGAGTGAGACTCCATCTCTACTAAAAATAGAAAGAAATTAATTGACCAACTAAAAATATGTATAGAAAAACTTAGCTGGGCATGGCGGTGCATGCCTGTAGTCCCACCTACTCGGAAGGCTGAGGCAGAAGGATCGCTTGAGTCCAGGAGTTTGAGGTTGCTGTGAGCTAGGCTGACACCACGGCACTCTAGCCCAGTTGACAGAGCAAGACTCTGTCTCAAAAAAAAAAAAAAAAAAAAACCAACAAAAAGAGTCAATCATTTTCCTATATACCAGCAATGAACAAGTAGAATTTGAAATTAAAAAGATCACATCATTTACATCAGTACCCCCCAAAATGTTATACTTAGGTATAAATCTAGCAAAATATGTACAAGATTTATATGAGAAAAACTACAAAACTCTTTTGAAGAAAATCATAGAAGGATTAAATACATGGAGAGGTATTCCATGTTCATCGATAGGAAAACTCAATACTGTCAAGATGTCAATTTTCCCCAATTTGATCTAAAGATTCAATGCAATATCAATCAAAATCTCAGTAAGTTATTTTGAAGATATCAACAAACTGATTCTAAGGTTTATAGAGAGAGCCAAAAGACCCAGAGTAGCCAACGTGATATTGAAAGAGAATAGTCAGAGAACTGACACTACCTGACTTTAAGACTTACTACAAAGCTATAGTAAGCAAGACAGTGTGGTATTTGTGAAAGAATAGACAAATAAATCAGTGTAACAGAACAGAAAGCTTAGAAGCAGACCCACAAAATGTAGCAGATTGATTTTTGACAAACAAACAAAGGCAATATAATGGAGAAAAGATAGTCTTTTCAACAAATGGCGCAAGAACAGTTGGACATCCACATGCAAATAAATGAATCTAGACATGGACCTTACAGTTTTTATAAAAACTAACTCAAAATGGATCATAGGCCTAAATGTAAAATACAAAATTATAAAAAAAACATTTAAAAGATAACACAGCAGCAAATCTAGATAACCTTGGGTTTGGTGATGACTTTTCAGATACAAAACCAAAAGTGCAATCCATGAAAAAAATAATTGATAATATGGACTTCACCAAAATTAAAAGCTTCTGTTCTACAAAAGATACTGTCAAGAGAATAAGAAGAAAAACCACACACTTGGAGAAAATATTTGCAAAAGACAGATCTGATAAATCACTATTATCCAAAATACATAAAGAACTCTTAAACTCAAAAATAAGAAAATGAACAACTCGTTTAAAAAATTGGCAAAAAACCTGAACAGATACCTCCTCAAAGAAGATGCACGGATGGCAAATAAGAATATGAAAAGATGTTCAACATCATATGTCATTAGGGAATTGCAAATTAAAGCAACAATGAGATACCACCACACATCTATTAGAATGGCAAAATCCAGAACTCTGATAACACCAAATGCTAGTGACAATGTGGAGTATCAACTAGTCTCATTCACTGCTGGTGGTAATGATAATGGTACAACCACTTTTGAAGACAGTTTGGCAGTTTCTTACAAAACTAAACTTACTCTTACCATATGATCTAGCAATGACATCCCTTGGTATTTGCCCAAATGAATGAAAACTTATGTCCACACAAAAACCTGCACATGATGTTTATAGTAGTTTTCTCCATAATTGCAAAAACTTGGAAGTAATCAAGATGTCTTTCAGTAGGTGAATGGATAAATTTTGGTACATCTAGACAATGAGTATTACTTGGTACTAAAAAGAAATCAGCTATGAAGCCATGAAAAGACATGGGAGAAACTTAAATGCATATTACTAAATGAAAGAAATCAATCTGAAAAGGCTACAGACTGTATGATTCTGGCTACATGATATTCTGGAAAAGTCAAAACTATGGAGACATACCAGGTGTGGTGGCTCACGCCTGTAATCCTAGCACTCTGGGAGATGTAGGCAAGTGGATCGCTCAAGGTCAGGAGTTTGAGACCAGCCTGAGGAAGAGCGAGACCCCGTCTCTACTAAAAAAATACAAAGAAATTAGCTGGACAACTAAAAATATACAGAAAAATTTAGTGGTGCATGCCTGTAGTCCTAGTTATTTGGGAGGCTGAGGCAGGAAGATCGCTTGAGCCCAGGAGTTGGAGGGTGCTGTGAGCTAGGCTGACGCCACAGCACTTTAGCCTGGGCAACAGAGTGAGACTCTGTATCAAAAAAAAAACAAAAACAACAAACAAAACTATGGAGACAGTAAACAGATCAGTGGTTTCCAGGAGTTAAAGGGAAGAGAGGGATTAATAGGCAGAGCACAGAGGACTTTGAGGGCAGTGAATATTCTACATGATATTATAAAGGTGGATATATGTCATTATACTTTTGTCAAAACCCATAGAATGTACAACACCAAGAGAGAAACATAATGTAAATTACGGACTTTGGGTGACAATGATGTGTCAGTGTAGGCTGGGCAATTGTAACAGGTACCACACTCTGGTTCAGGATGTTGACAGTGGGGGAGGCTGCGCTGGTGCAGGGGCGGGGTAGGTATATGGGAACTCTCTGTACTTTCTGCTCTATTTTGCTGTGGACTTAAAACTATTCTAAAAAATAAAGTCTATTAAATAAAAAACAGTCACAAGAGTATAATTTTGAAAAATATATTTGACAAAGTGGGTGTAGTGTAGGATTTGTGCACCTAGGCTCCAGGACTCTGTTACTTTTGCCAAAGGCTATCATGCAACTTAATCAAGTAACTGTCTCTTTGGGCCTAAGTGTTCTCAGTTCTGAAATGAGGAAATGGGATTATCTGACCCTAGAGTTATTTTAGTTCTAATATTCTCTGGGGCAGTGAAATTTAAGTGGTACATCTTGGGCAGTGACTAAATGAGGCATGAAGCAGAATTTGAATCACCTTCCAAGCTGTGCCCCAATCGCTATGCAAATTAGTGATAAGTTAGTATTTCAGTACCTGGTGCTCACAGGCAATTGTGTAATGGATTAACCCCATATTATTTGAGTGCCTCCAAAAAGCTATAGCAAAACAGCCATTAAGGACAGACTGAAAAATCTAGCCAACAGGCCACTATTTGGCAATTTTGTAAGCTTATTTTAAAAATTGAGCTTATCAAAATTGCCATTCCAAAAACCAGGAACATAAATGTCCATAGATAATGGAGTGGAGATGGAGGGGCTTTTGTATAAATCTACCTCCTCGGACAATGGGACGGTGCAGCATCACCAAATATCTGAGGTAACAGGAGATGGTTACGTGTTCCTGTCAATCCAGGAGAGGCATCACTCACAACACTGAAAGATTTCCAGCTCAAGTAGTCATGAAGACCATACATTTGGTGAATATATGCATTGTTAGCATAAAACCAAATTGTTCTGATTAATATAATCAGTAATAAGGATTTTATAGACTTTTCTCTAAAGAATTTCCAGGAATGTCTTAAGAGAAAGCCCTGCAATTAAGATACAGAGCCTGGGTGCAGAGCCTGAAAACTGCTGTGACAGCAACGACTTAACTCTGGCAGTGGAAGGCTCTGAGTAGAGTCTCTTACCCACTGTGGGACACAGAGGACAATCCTGCTTCCCCGGGCTGAGTCTTCTGCTCGTTCATTCCCTTCTCAGCAGGTCCCTTCTTCTCTAAGTGCTGATGCATCATCCCAGCCTTCATTTTCTCATGAAGAGCTCTCTTACAGACTCCTTTGAAAGGAAGGATGGAGAAGAAACGTGTCTAGGTCTCCACAATAGCCAGGTTTTTCTCCAAAGCTACCTAAAGAAACTGAAAAAAAAAATACAGTTTGAAGAAGTCGATTATTAAAGGAGATCCCACAGGAGCACAGACTCTCAAGAGCAGAGCCTACAAGGAAGTAAAGGGTGAAGCCTACAATGTGCCCCCTTGGAGAACATCCTGGCAACCCACTGGGCAAAGGGAAGATGCAGCAAGTAGGGGGAGATGTCATTAGGAGGAAGAGAAGGATGTTATAGAAGAAAAAACAGGCAAACAAATGAAATGAATGAATGGAAACAAATGGGGTTTAAACTGGGCTAAGGGGTGAGTATTTTTGACTCTTGAAGTTCCCAGGGAGTGTCCCTTCAGAAGGCAGGAAGCATTTTTATCACTCACAAGTTTTGAGAGTCATGAAGTCTAAAAAATGTTGAGATACCAGAGCTCCAATCCCAAGGCACTGGACATCAACAGTAGTGCTATAGGAAGACTGAGGATGCCGGGCCTCAAATCACAATCATAGAATTAGAATGTGGAGGTCTCTCTAGAACCCGAGGAAGCCCTGCCTTCCAATGGCCTCCCACACTCAACACAAGGCTGCCTGTGTCTTCCTGGAGGACGCTATCATAGAGGATGTCTCTCTCATCGCTCCGTTTTAATATCTGTGTATCCTTTGGCTGATACCACCAATCAATCAATTCCTTAACTCCCCCCGCCCACCAAAATAGCATATTGCTCCTTGTTCAATCTCGCTTTGCATAGAAAACATCAAAACATTTTCTCAGCACCTTTTATTTTCTTGAAAACAGTTTCAGTAAAAATAATTCTTGTGCCTTTTCTTAAATGAATATTGTAAAGTTCTAGTGATTCTTTCTGTTCCTTTTCAGGAACTCTCCAGGCTTTCACCATTCTTTCAAGAGCGTGGTGACCAAACTGCAGTATAATACTCTAAGTAGGACTAATAAATTTAGCGTAATGATGTTTTACCTTTTCATTCCATAATAACTAATATATCCCAATGCAATATTGACTTCCTTTCCTTTGTAGTAGCAACATGTTGGGGTTTCATTTAACATGAGGTCAATTTCAACCTTCCAAACTCCTACCTCTACCCAACTTTGCTACTTGTAGGACTGTTTTGCATTTTTTTTCTTTTAATCTCTATAAATATACTTTGCCAATGTCTGTTTTGAATTTCATTCTGGCTCTGCAGATTACTCTTCACTTTGTCCAAGTCCTGAAAATATTTTATTAATTTCTTTGACTGTGAGTAATAGAAACTTAATGTGCTGCTGACTTGTAAACCTACTGGATTTCTTTATTCTTTCACTCAAATCTTGATAGAGTTGCCTGGGCTGCCACAAAGCCATTGAAAATGGCCTGTGACAGACCCTGTTATAATCTAGGCCACAGCGGGGAGGGAATGTATGGCAAATACAAGCTGTGGTTTTTAGTGACATAACAGCTGAGACTGTGAAGAAAGTCACAGGTACAGCAGGAGTGGGAGGGATCCTCTAACTTTGCTTCCCACTTCCTAGACCTCCATTCCACTGGTGTGCTGGTAAGTCTTTAGCAACAAGCATTCCTGGGGATAAAGTCCTCATTTGTAGTATTTGCCTGTTTTCATTGGGTTAATACTATCACCATGGACAATTTTAAACTACCATCCCTGAATAGAGTTGGAAAGGGATGCTAAGTAGTACATCATGATATAATACTTCCACCCTATAAATACAGCAGATGTACCACTTCACACCCAATTAGGATGACTACTATTTTTTAAAAAAGCAAACAACAAAAAACCCAGAAAATAACAAGTGTTGGTGAGGATGGGGAGGAACTGGCACTCTTGTGCACTCTTGGGAATGCAAAATGGTACAACCACTGTTAAAAACAGTATGGCAGTTCCTCAAAAAATTTAAAATAGAATTACTATATGATCCAGCAATGCTACTTCTGGGTATATACCCAAAAGAATTAAAAATAGCGACTCAGAGATTATTTGTATACCCATGCTCATAGCAGCATTATTTGTTGTAGCCAAAAATTAGAAGCAACTCAAGTGTCCATCAATGATTCATTGGATAAACAAAATGTGGTATGTATGTGTAATAGAATATCATTCAGTCTCAAAAAAGGAGGAAATTCTGACACATGCTACAATGTGGATGAAACTTGAAGACATTATGCTAAGTGAAATAACCCAGTCACAAAAGGACAAATATTGTATAATTCTGCTTAAATGAGGTACTTAGAGTAGTCAAATTCACAGAGACAGAAAGTAGAATGGTGGTTGCCAGTGACTAAAAGAAAAAAAGAATGGTGAGATATTATAAAGTAGTAAATAATTTCAGTTTTGTAAGACAAAAAGAGTTTTGTGAAAAGAGATAGTGGTCACGGTAGCACAACAATGTCAATGTATTTAATGCTACTGAAGTGTACACTTCAAAATGGTTAAGATGGTAAATTTTGTTGTGTATTTTATGACAATGAAAAAATACATTAGACACAATAAACCTAAAAGCATAGATAATAGTAAATGTAAAATAATTAGGTCATGAGTTTTGAGTATTTATTACCTTTTTGATATACAGTTGACCCCTAAACTGTGTAGGGCTTAGGGGCATCAACTCTGTGAGTAGTCAAAAATCTATGTATAATTTTTGACTCCCCAAAACCTAACTACTACTAGCCCACTGTTGACTGGAAGCCTTATTGATAATGTAAATAGTCAATTAACACGTATTTTGTATGTTATATGTATTATATATTTTGTTCTTACGATAAAGTAAACTAGAGAAAATAAAATGTTATTAAGAACATCATAAGGAAGAAAAATGCATTTACAGTATTTTTTTTTTTTTTTTTTTGAGACAGAGTCTCACTTTGTTGCCCAGGCTAGAGTGAGTGCCGTGGCATCAGCCTAGCTCACAGCAGCCTCAATCTACTGGGCTCAAGCAATCCTTCTGCCTCAGCCTCCCGAGTAGTTGGGACTACAGGCATGCGCCTCCATGCCCGGGTAATTTTTTGTATATATATTTTTAGTTGGTCAATTAATTTCTTTCTATTTTTAGTAGAGACAGGGTCTCGCTCAGGCTGGTTTTGAACTCCTGACCTGGAGCAATCTGCCCGCCTTGGCCTCCCAAAGTCCTAGGATTACAGCTGTGAGCCACCACGCCTGGACATTTACAGTATTCTATTGTATTTATTGATACCTAAGTTTATGTTGTCTATTTACAAGATGAATCATCTGAAATGGCAGGCAACCACAGCTGCAGACCTCAATCTTTTTCTCATAATGTCATGACTTTTCTCTTCTTCTTGGGAGCATTTCCAGAATCACTCATGGCACTGCATATGGGTCCAGTGATGTTATTCAAGGTTTACAGTACCACACTAAATATGATGAAAAATATACGAGATCTGTGAGAGATCACTTTTTACTCTGATATGCAATTTACTGGAGAGAACTGCTTACTCAGAGATGATTAGCAACATAAGGCATTTTAAGCAACATTTGCAACAATTGAGTTCACCACAATAGTAACAGGAGGTGGCTATGAACGAAATTATGATAGTAGTAAGGTATAGTCTATAGTTACCATTACGCAGTTATGATTTAATACCAAATCTTTACATTTGTTTACATTTTTCTCTACTTTGAATGGTGCCATGTACTGTCTGTAAGTGTGTGTGTGTGAGTTTGGATAAATTTTAACTTTTTATAACAGATTTGTGTATTCTTGTGGTAGTAAATGATACAATAAACTAGGATCTACATATATGCATATGCATTCATAACATACTGAACTTTTTCATAATTTTTTGATATTTCTCTTATTTTCAATTTATGTAAATGATTATTGGAATCCATAAACTAATCTGGACAGGGCTTCCTTTGAATTTTCAGAGAACTAATTTGTTTATACTCCAGAAGAAAATAAATTATACCAATTTGTTTCCTCAGAAAATAATTCATATTCATATAATGGAGAAATCCCTTTAAACTACCAGGCATTCTAAAGGAACTAATCATATAAAGTAACATCATTTAAAGTGGAGAAGAAGCAATGGTATCTATTAAAAATAGATATAATATATGAAAAGAAAAAATTAAGCATGAGAAAGTGTTTGGAGAAGACTCCTTGATGAAAATTTGGTTAATTTTGTGATATCCTTTTCAGTTCAGCAGGACCTTCTCAGTATATATCATTTGCATTATTGTCACTGAATTTTATCCATTTTTAAAAATCCATTTTAAAAGGATTTTTTGCCTTTTTAAATAAAAGTATGAACTAGTTTCCAGTTCTTGAAGTTATTTAAAAGATTGTTAAATCTTGGTTTAAATAGTTGTCAGACACCATATCTTACTCTCTGGAGAAGTCTGAAGGATATACAGTATACTAATTAATTGCCTAATTGTAATGACATATTTATCTTTTCCCTCCTTTATTCATCCATTTAAAAAGTTGTGAAATTATTCTATCATTTAGGAACTTCAAAGTATTACTCAGAAAGTAGAATATTGGATGCCAGAATTTCAGTTTTCTTTCTGTTCTAAGATCCTCTTTAGATAAAGCAATTTATTGAAGTCAGAGTTATTATGGAAGAATCATTGTGTATGGAGATCATCTGTGTGGATCAAAAGATATTCTACTTTTGTAGATATTGACATTTATTGGGCCCATGGAATTTTATCCAGTATCAGATAGATAAGATATAAACTGCTTCTCCATACTGTAGACTCAAATACCAGGAAATACCAAAATCCTCAGGACAAATAGCAAATCAAAAAAGACTCACAGACTAGATTAGCCATCATCTACCATCTAACAGAGAATGGATCCCTGTTAACTACTACTCAACAGAGATCATCCCCAGATGTTCATTTCATAAAATCAAAGCCAGAATTCCACACTGATACCATGGATGGGAGAAAATAATTGACAATGTGCAAATGAGAGACAAATAAATA